CACACCAACTACCCCTTCCCTACCAGCACCACCACCACCGTTGCCACCACGACCCCTTCCTTACCAGCACCACCACCACCGTCACCGCTACGACCCTTCCTTACCAGCACCACCCCACCGTTACCACACTACCCCTTCCCTACCAGCACCACCACCACCACCGTCATATATATATAATATATATATATATATATATTATATATTATATATATATAATATATATATATATATATATATATATATATATATATATATATATATATATATATATATTATATATATATATATATATATAACTACGTAAAATCAAAGCGTCAAGCATCTGCCACTTGCGTGTCCCTCTCGTTTTCCACTGTTTACACCTTTCACTGCCACGACTTCATTGTTATTCACAGCTACTACTTACGTCCAGCCGCCGGGTAGAGAGGGTGCGCTAATCCGTCCTTGGCCATCTTGTTGGTTTACCCCGTGCAACCAGCGTGCTGAGTTACGGGATGATGTATTTACTGCAATGATGACCGAGGTTGTGTGACGCAGAGAGAGAGTAAACAAGATATATGAATGCATCCGATAGATATACCATACGCATATAGACATCAGATAAAACTTACAGGTTTATCTGTGCTTCACCCGTGACCGGTTTGGAGGGCTCTGGTACCCTCTTAGCCCTGCCTGAGGATAGGCTTTTCTACTGATCACCTGGTCAGCTAAACTGTGTTCGTGGCCAGGCCCATGTTGTCATTACAACCTGGGTGATCCAAGACTTGTTGAAAGAAGCTGTCCAGCTTCCTCAAAGTTTTTCTCTTCGCAATTACAGTATTTCTGAAATTTACTGATAGCGTCTTGAAGAACCAGTTTTGATACAAATGTTCTCGAACTGTACCCATGGCTGCTCTACTCTTGGTTTATTACGCACTTTCTCTAATATCTTTCACTCTAGTTAGACGTTATAAAAGTGTTCGTAATAGAGACCAATCTATCAAATAACTTCCATGTATATATTATCAGTTATCTGTCTCTTCTCCGTTGTAGCGACAACAGTTCGAGGGACTGTAGATGTTCCCAACATATTGCATTTTTTTATTGAATCTGTACGAAAAATATACGACCTCAATACATTTTCCATTTCTGCTGTCTCTTCTGCCTTGTAAGATGATATGAGTATAGAATAATATTGAAGGTGCGAGAATGCAAGTGAGTTCAAAAGTCCCATCATTGGCGTTGTTTCTCACGTGTTGAAGTAATTCGTCTCATCATTTCTCGCAGGCCTTTTTCTGCATTTAGCTAGTTATGTTTTCCAAGGGACAGATCCTCTGACAAAATAATTCCTGTTCCTTACGTTATTTCATATGGACTTCCTGCGTCCTGTATACTGTGATCGTTTTGTGGGTTTCAATCCTCCCAACCCTATGCAGTTGAAATATGTCGCCACTAAACATCAAGTTATTTTTATTTACCAGCTGCAAGTCTCTAATATCTATTTTTAAATTTTCGATATCTTCTTCTGAAGCAACTTTGATATTAGTTTGGAATCATCTGGCCACACAATACGGCCCTGTGGCGAGTGTTCTTGTTTATTTCTGTTATGAGGATAAGAAACAGTAATGGTGCTAGGACCATGGCTAGGTGTACTGAATTTTTTACGTTATTGAAACTGAACTTTATTCTTCGCTATCCCTTTGTAATGTTTGCTAGAAATTTCAATATATATTTCTCTACTTTTTCTGTTATACCGTCTGACCTTAATGAGCTATCAGCCAATGGTCTCATTCGTTTAATGCCTTTTGCAGGATTTATGGAATTACGTCTGTGTTTTGTTTTCCTTCCAAGGCTTCCATACTTTTGTCATAGTGATCTAATAGTCGTGATAAGAGAGATCCTCCTGTTCTAAAGCCACTGTTGACTTAGGTTGGGCAGCTCCTGTTTTTCAATGAAGTCATCAATTTGTTCTCCTTGAACTCTTCCAAAGATTGTTATATGTGATGGTAGTGCTAGTGATCTGTAGATTTTTGCTATTTCCCTGCTGTCCTCTTTATGTAGTGGGACTATATATACACTTTTTGACATCATTAAGATTTCACTTCACTCTCAGCTCCTTCTAAGAACACTGAGTATTCTTGTTAACAGCACTGCAATTTTTTTCTTTAAATATCACATTTCAGGACTCTGGCCCAGGTACTGTTGTCATGGGTACGTTGTCGAGTTCTGAAGAATATGTGTTTCTGTCAAATACATAATTTGTAGAGTGGGCTGAATTGATCAAAAACAAACTCTCAGAGCATCTATAGGATCACTGAACATGTATTCACATTATTCTTCCATGGTACTGCTCATGTTCATTGCTATCATATGTGTATGAATCTCCTTTCAGCACAATTCAGTCACAGGGAGAGACTTTTACATGAGTTTTATATACGTACAAAAAACATTTCGGATTTTTTCAATTTCGTAAATTACGTTTCGTTTTTGCTGCTTCGGTCGGGTGTGAATAGTTTAATTCCAGTTTTATATTTCTAGTTCATTTGTTGTGATATTTACTTTCTGTTAAGTAATTTGACAACCTTCTTCCCTCTTCTATAGAGTCTTCTCCGCTCTTACTCTATATAATTTTAGTGGGATATATTTTCAACTCATCATGTATGTGTTGTTTCTTTCAGCTTGTCCATGCGTTGATTTGGTTGTTCCAGTCAAGTCTCTGTTTATGGAAGTTGAATTTGCTACACATCCCCTCACGTTGACAGCTGCTTAGGTTCTCCAGACCTGCATTCACGATTTTTTGCATTTCAGTGATATGACATGAGTGTATTGTGTTGAAGAGCGTTATGTCCATGACATGTAGGGTCTGTTATTTGTTGCTGCAGTGTAAACTCCGTACAGTCTTAGGAGTTCTCTGGTATGAACCTGAGTTAGAGCACTTCACAGTGTGGTTTCCGGTACAATGCTACTGTCTATCCTCTCGTACTTTATTTATATTTGGGAGGAGTACATTTGGTGTAAGATTTTCATTTTTTTTTTTAGGCTGTTGTCGATCTTCCTTATCTCTGGTGAACTCTTCTATGTTGTTGATGGTTATTGCCGAGTCTTAGTTCCTGGCCCCGCCTCACAACTTGTTGCTTGCTCCTAACCAGGCTCTTATTCTTCACTTTTGTACCAAGGATTTCAACCATATCATTTGATAATTTTAACAGTTTAGTGCAAATATGTGAATCTTTCAGATATTAACTTACTCCTCCATCCATCTTATTGACTCTCATACATTTATTTCTATCATTTTGCGTTGATATATTTTAGTGATGACTTAATATTTTTATTTCTATAAGTAGCCATATTGGTATTTAATAAATAAGAGTAACATACAGCATACTCCATCGACAATCAAGTTTAGTTCTCATCATTTTGCGTATGTTATTATTTATGTGATGACTTTAATTATTTTTGTAGTATTTACGAATTAAGTAAAACTGGTAGCCCATAACTACAATTAGTGTACATTTCACTCAAAAACAAGAATGACACCTGCACAGGCATAATAGGCCCATGCTGCAGATCAAAGATTCCACCGCTTAATCTCCAGACGCAATCCCAGCCAGGTCAGGTCATATGCTGACATACACTTCGTTATATGACATCTTACATCGCATAATATGATAACTTATGTCCTTTGTCAACGTATACTACGAGAAAGTTAAAGTGTATAACCAAACCTGGATATAGCAAAAACTTCAATAAATAATATAGCAACAATATAGTTACATCCTCTCACTCACAAACACAAAATGACATCCGACAACTTAGTGCATAATAAGGCCACCTATGCTGCCTATCGTAAAAGATTGCCACTGTGCATTCTCCAGACAGAGGCAGAGCTCTCCTTGGCCCAGTGTAAACAAACGTTGCTTGCCAGACGTACTCCATATAGGACGAGCTGTGCCGGGGGCAACAATGCGCACACAAAACAAGAATACAAATACTGTTTAAAACTATGTAATTAGGCAGAGTAAATCCTTGAGGTAACTGGATGCGCTTTTTTTAAATGTAGAAATCCGCTAGGTTTGCTAAGTTTGATGGCTTCATAACGCGCTCTTGTGGGGTGGTTCTCAAACTACCCACATCCTGGGGGCAGAAGTCGACCCACATACCCTCGGAGGGACGTAATATTGATGAAATTTGATGCGTAATGGAATGGACCTTTAACGTAAATAACGAAAATATTGGATTGGTTGGTGAATAATCTTGTCATTTCATTGGGAATTTTAATGTGTATGATTTCTCCCCTGGAAACATGTCTGTTGCAAAGAGGATTTTTTTTTTTTGGTGTGGGGAGGGGAATGTTGCTTTTAGTAATAGTGGAAAATCCGATAGAAGGAAGCAAAATTTCTACTAAGATATAAAAATCTTTTGCATGAAACATTACGATTGTAATTGAGAGGCAAAACCTGAAGATGAGAAAACCTTCCAGATTTTTTTTAATATTCTTTAGTATGAACTTTGGTTTCCATTTATTTTGCATGTTAAATGTAACTTTATTTAATATATATATATATATATATAATATATATATATATATATATATATATATATATATATATATATATATATATATATATATATATATATATTAGGCAAATCTAGTAACTTCACTATTTACTATGGAAATATATATAGGTTATATATGGTACTTCACTATTGCAATCAATGATCTTGCATAAAAAAGATGAAAGAAAGGTATTATTCAACTTGTAACATCCTTCACTGGAAATCTGGCTGTGCTTACCTGCTTTCGTATGCATTAATATTCATGGTAAAAAAAACTGCAAAGCACAAACTCCCCTTCCCCCCCGAGTCCTTCCAGCTCCCCCATCCCCAAGACTCATCAGCACTCATTACATGTGAAGGTTTATTCATCATCACTTTTCTCCTGTCCCCGTCTTCGTTTCTCCCTCTTTTTAACCTTCCTTTCCGCATCACTTCTTTCATCTGTGCTCTCTAGACTGTCTTCACTGCAAATTTACCCCCGTAGCCGCCGGTGCCCTGGACCCCCCCCCGTCCTCCCTCGTCTACCTGTCCTGGTGGTGGTGTGTTGGTCGGGGTATATATAGCTGGTCTCACCAACTCGCCCCACATCCTCAGCTGATCCTCACACCAACAACATGAAGCTCGTGAGTTTTTCATAAAAGTTACTACTGCATAATACAGTAACACTTTAATCATTCCCAATATACAGCTGACACATTAGTTTCTATCTGCTAGAACCTGTGAAATAAATACTCTTTTCCATTCCCTTCAAAGTTTTTTATTTCACTGACAAGAGGTATATTTATTTCACTGACAAGAGGTATATTTATTTCACTGACAAGAGGTATATTAGTTTGGGTGCTTTAGCTAAGGTATATCAGCTCATATATGTTAACTTCGGTCTATTCTTTTGGTTGTATTAACTTCCCCTCCTATGATTCCAGTTGAACTCATTGAATGATAGTGTTTTGTTTCTAGAGGTATGTTCTGAAAAAAAAAATATAAATTATAAAGTAAAAGCATCATCCATCGCCATTGACTGACGATGACCCAACTGCTGCCACCAGTAAAGCTTTTCCTTAACAAAGCCAGTGCCACCGTCCGTACTGAGCCGCTACTAACACCACTTGCCTAAGACTATTGGGTAGTATCTGTGTCAGGCTCAACACAGAGTTGCATCATTCCAGGTTCCTAGAGGAAATTTTTTTGCCAACGGTTACACATTTGCTGACACTGATTTTGTTGTTGATAGGTTTAAAATGGAATAAATAAGGACTTAATATTTGATACAATGCTATTATTTCTAGTGGTTGTGTTACATTATATCTATAATTAATAAAACATTTGTTTTTCTCTTGTTAGCGGCGATTACGTCCCAACCCCAGATAAAAAAAAACAGTATAACGATAAGGAAGGGGTGAGGGGAGATTAATATATAACTGCTAAGAGTTTTATATTTACATGCAGCACTGCATTAAGTAACTTCTATGATAATATGGAGACGTCTTTCCTGATGGACGCAGGTAGTATTCGCCCTCCTGGTCACCCTAGCTGCCGCCGCCCCTCGCCCAGATAAGGACGCAGAGACCGTGGTGGACGAGCGTCAGGACAGTGGTGACGGCAACTTCAACTACCGATTTGAAACCAGCAATGGAATCAAAGAGGATCGAACCGGCACTCCAGGGTCTGAGGGCCAGAGCAACATGCAAGGTTCCTTCAGGTAAAAAGGGCTCCTGTCACATTAACATATTATTTTCCTATGCTTTCAAAACGAGATATATGATAAATTTTTCAATTTCACTTCGAATGATAGTGCATACATGAGTTGCTTATTTTGCAGCTTCACTCTCGCTGACGGCACCGTCGCGGAAGTAACTTTCGTCGCCGATGAGACAGGCTTCAATCCTAAGTCTCCACTGCTGCCCATCGCTCACCCTCTCCCTCCCCACGCACTCGAGCAGATCGCCTTCGCCGAGGAACAGCGAGCTAAGGGTGTTGTCTTCGAGAAATAAGGTGGACACTGACTGTTTCAACGAATATATCATCCAGTGATCTTCTTCTCACATAATTCACTCTCAGCCACAGCCAAGGAATGCCTTCCAGACCACCATTATCCTAGACACAATCTGTTGTTATTATAAATATTCAATAAATAATGTTCCAGCAGATGGTTTGCTATGATTACACTCCATAGAACGTTCAGCCGATCTGTTTTTAGACCGTAAACTCGAAGTATCCTCAACCGTATTTTGTACCTGGAGAAGAATTTACCTAACAGTGTGGTTACACACAATTCTATATGGCACTTGTTATGGACTGGGGAAAGAGGGTTCCCCATTATCTTTCCACACTTTTTGGTGTACAACGTATCAATAAACACAAAAAATATAATGAATTGTTGACTGCGTTCTGATACAAACTAGCAAAGATATGTGAATAATTTGCTTAGCTTTTGGCAACAATTTAAATAGGTTTACTACCAAGGTTGCGAAAAAAATTTACTAGCAAGCTTGCGAAAAACAACTTAATACCATTTCTAATTGTCTCAGTATACAAAAATCATAAATAACAAACTAAATGTATATAGCAAGTTATTCAAATATTTTCCCAATAAGTACTGTGGAAAATTACATTTATCTGGATGTAACTCATAATGTACATACCAGTAAATGATAACAAAGATAACTATTATTTATCAAAGTTACATAGACAAATAGGAATTTGGGACACCTAGGTCGCAAAAATGTCCCCCTTCGATACCTACAACTGTCATATCCACAAGTTGCTCTAGACCTATTAATTACAAATGAAATATGCATCACCAGGAATTCTGGTAAATATATAAGTTTGTGGACTGTATATTAAAATTAATAAATGATTATATATATATATACGCATTTATATAACAGAAGGAGAATATATCTTAATATCACTCACCAATTTGACTGGAGATTAATGTGTATCATACTCAAAAACCTCATTCTAGCCCAATTTATGAAGATAATGCTGGCCAGAATTATAACACAAACTTAGATAGCTTATCTGAGGTTCCTGGAGCTGTCTTGTCCAGTCGCCTGTATGTCAAGTTATGCAGGAATGCACATCCAACAATTTCGGCTCCTATTTGAGAGGTGTCAGCCCAATTTAACCTCTAGAGCGACGAAAATTCTTCCGATTATTCACTAACGTTTCTTGTCCAATTCAAACAGCAATGGCGAGTCTCCTTTCTGCGCAGGCGCAGAGTTTCCCATTTTTTATAACATAATTTTTATTAAATACAATATGTTTTAATTTACATACAAATACACTATTTACGGAAAATATACTATTTTCCACAAGTACATATAAATCCCGGTAGCCAAAGGCAAACACCAGTGTTGTCTTACAAGTTCTTGAGACTCCGTATAATATTTGAAGCACACAGTTCAATAATAAAAAATATATGAAATATATCATCCTAGGATCAAACTTAATTACCCCTTATCCCTTCTAGTACCCAGTTGCTACTTAACTCTTAGAATTTTTGTGATTCGTTACAATTATTTTAATATTATTATTACACAGACCAACACTCATTTTATGCTCAATGATATTACGCCGATTTCAGGGTAAGTTGTGATGCAGATTCCGAACATGTCGGGTTTGCTTGATTGGCTCTAGTTTTTGATAAATTTAGTATCCCATTAAAAAACATAAAAAATGTGAAAATATGTCGATCAGGAAGGACTAACTTACAAATCGCATTTTAATCATGTTTTAAATCATGCAAAAGTCAAATTATGTAATACATATTAGCACTTCATTAAATACAGTAACAGATTAACATTGGTAAGATCATTCAAATATCACTAATTACTGTATATGAAAACATTGTAAGTACAGATTTTTCTTATATGTTGGTTATCAGTACAGTCCCGTTGGAGGCTCCAACAATAGTCTGCCATCGTGTGTGTGTAACATCTGCCTATGAAACTATTCCTCCAACATCTTCATATTTTGATGGTACCTCTTCCCTTATTCTTCACCGACCTTATCAAGATTATGTGGAAATCTGTCTAGGTGGCTATGGAAAAAGTGTACGTTTATACTCATATTAGTAGATAAATTTTTAAAGCTTGTCAGCATGTTTTGCACCAGTTCCTCATAACTGTCTGTTTTAAAATTACCCGAGAAGTTCTTGACAACTGTACCATACAGAAACTTCAACAACATTCATACATTTTGTGAAATTAGAATCCTTGATAAGCCTTCGAATTTGAGGACACTCAAAGATTCCAGCTTTCAATTTTTCCATACTTAGCCTAGGGTACGATTTCTTGAGTCGTTACAAATGTATTTGAAGCAATTGCCATCTGAAGGAAGAAATTCAACCTCTCTTGCCCGATAAGCTAGTAACTTCTTGTCGTAGACAGTTCTTTTCTTTTAATCTAGATTCTAGATGCTGAAAGTTCAGATGACAGGCAGAGGTCACGTATCATATCGCTGAGTTTTTTGGGGGGAGAACTGCTTGGGTGTTGAAAAGCTTACTTCATAATCACAGCCACTGCTATCACCTGTGTTACATCCTAAACCCTGAGTTTCTTCAACATCTGACAAGGGAAGGTCAGGTAGTGTTATAAACACTGGTATGGGAACATCTTCACTGTGTGGCACAGGTCTTCTTGCTGACTCCAAATCAGGATATTACTTGACTTTCTTGTATCGAATGAAACATTTCACATTCACAATACAGAAATAACAATCGCCGTAGTGGTTTTCCGGGTCTCTACACCATAGACACACCGAAGCTTAATCTTTTCCTGTGCCTATTTTTCCACTTTCGTAAGCATTCTACACAGGTTTTGCAAACCAAATGGGAAACCCAAGGCTTTTCTTGTTCTCCAAGCGCCACTCTAAAATAAGCAAAATCTGTGATTTCTTCTTTATTATTATTATTATTATTAATTATTATTATTATTATCACATAAATATTTTAAACATGCTTAGTGCAACCCAGTTTACAGTTAATTTAATAATTCAAAGAATTTGGAAGCGTAATTAACACAATTAACAGAAAGAGAAATAGCAGTAGGTAATATCTTCAGAACCCAAGACGACCTTCATCTCCGTACTTACTGCTGATTACAAAACGTACAAATTAAGATCAAGTTATTTCTTTGTTGGGTCTGAAAGTGATACAATAAATGCAGTATAAGCGAGAATAGCAGCTTTGACCCGTAGCTCAGTTTGTAGAGCACGTGGTTCGATCCCCGGTACGGGTGGAAACACTTCGGGAAGGGGGGGGGGGTGTTTCCTTAAGACTCCTGCTCTCCCTGTGATCAATGACTTTGCTCAGTAAGTGAAAACAGCGAGTCGTAACCCACTCGCTATTTCCACTTACTCAGCTGCACGTAACGAGTGTCGTAGTAACCAGCCCAAGGATCAATTCTTGTCACAATATAATTGGTTTGTAATACAGGACAATTGTCTAAACTCTCAGAATTGATGGATGACAAAAAATTGGAAAGTATATTGTAACCGTGGCCGAAGTAGTAGTCAGAGACATTAAGATTCAGTGTAAAAAAAAAAAAAAAAAATATGATATAACAATGTCAGACAAAAGACGATCTTCAAGTTACCATTAGTTTCCTACATCATTAAAATCAATGTTGAAGCTTTATGTTGCATTTATCACACTGTAAATATACTGCCAAGTTTGGCTCCCCAAATTAAGTAAGAGCCCCGAGAAGCCCTTCAAGGTCATGTCTTGAATAAGAAAGAAATACCAAGAAGAAAGTCTCATAACACTAGTTATTTTATTATTGTGAATCAAACACTAAAATGTTTTTTTTGTGTTTTTTTTAAATATTAAATAAATTCAATGCACCTAAACATGGTGACACTATCTGAAATACAAAGTAAATCAGTAATAAGAGACAACAACAACATGGCACTCTGAAGCAAATCAGATGTAACACGAATGCTGATAAAGTCAGTTGTATTGTTTACCTGGAGTTTACCTGGAGAGAGTTCCGGGGGTCAACGCCCCCGCGGCCCGGTCTGTGACCTGGTGGATCAGAGCCTGATCAACCAGGCTGTTGCTGCTGGCTGCACGCAAACCAACGTACGAGCCACATCCCGGCTGATCAGGAACTGACTTTAGGTGCTTGTCCAGTGCCAGCTTGAAGACTGCCAGGGGTCTGTTGGTAATCCCCCTTATGTGTGCTGGGAGGCAGTTGAACAGTCTCGGGCCCCTGACACTTATTGTGTCTTAAAAACTCGAACAGTCACATAGTTTAATACAGTACCTATTCTTATTACGAAAAAAAAATGTATTGTAATGTTAGAATATTTACATTTAATCAATTACCTATAAATATATCATTAGAAATGTTATTAACCAATAACCCTTTCAATAATTTGCTATTGAAAATTCTTGGTCTCCATATACCAATAAGTATTATGTAGAGAACGCAGCAAATAAAAAAATCATCATATTAGCTAGTAGTTTGCTAGAATATACAACCCTGTCATCCTTCTATACCTCCCTTCTAATCTTCAGCCCAAAACTTACAGGACCTTCGCCAGCCTCCACAACTATCACTATTACCTAGCCAACCTCTTGACCTTCCTACCCACATACCCATCTCCCTACCCAAGCTGGTGGGGTATATATACAGCTTCTACCAGGCAGAAGTCATATATCCTCTGAGCCCCACACCATCATGAAGCTGGTGAGTACAGAGATAAAGCACCGTGTGCGTTGTGTTTAATGTATCTTCATCGTACTGTAGCTGCTTTGGGCAATAACTGTGACTCAGTATATTGTATATGTAATCCAATTTTTATGTTGTATTCCAGTACCAATATTGCTACTGTTGCTATTACATACTCTCAGTGGTCACGTTATTTGGTACATCCTTCTAGTACTGGGTACGCACCACTTCAGCTGGAAAATTCCTTAGAGATCCTGGTTCATGTTGGCTTGATAGCATCACGTAATTGCTGCAGATATGTGTGCTGCACACTCTTGTTGTGACTCTCCCATTCCACCACGTCCTGAAGATTTACATCAAATTCTGATCCTACCATCTGTATGTCGCAGGAGAAATCGCGATTCTTCAGACCAGGCGACATTCTTCCTATCTTCAATTGTCTAGTTTTGGTGAGCCTCTCCCTGTTGTACTTCCAGTGTCCTGTTCTTAGCAGACGCGATCGGAAATAAGTGTGGTCTGTTGTTGGATCCCATCCACTTCTAGGTTCGACACACCGTGTGTTCAGAGATGCTTATTTTCATACCACTGTTGTAATGCATGGTTATTTGTGTTACTGTCATCTTCCTGTCAGCCTCAACCAGTCTGACCATTCTCCTCTGAACTCTCTCATTATCAAGGGGTACAACGAACATAGGTGTAGTCTAAGTGGCCTGAAACCTGGTTGTAGCACAATAACCAAGGTAAAAACAAGGAACAAGCTAAACACAACGGTGAGTAAATACTGATATATATATATATATATATATATATATATAATATATATATATATATATATATATATATATATATATATATATATATATATATATATATATATATATATTCAACAAGTCGGCCGTCTCCCACCGAGGCAGGGTGACCCAAAAAGAAAGAAAATCCCCAAAAAGAAAATGCTTTCGTTTTGGTTTAAATAGCATCGTTCTTATAGCCGAATAGGACAAGCGAAAATTTGTGTGTGCATTAATTTCGCAAAAATCATTCTTAACCTAACGAAAAAAATATGTTTCATTGTGTTTGCTTATTATTAAATTATTGTAAAATTATCTAAAATATATTTAGTTGGATTAAGCTAAATTAAATTGCGCTTTTTATAATAAGGTTAGGTAAGTTTTCTAAGGTTCTCGTGGAACAAAATTATTAATTTTTACATTAACATAAATGAAAAAATATGTTTATAAAGGTATAAGAGAAAATTTTAAAAAGGACTTAATTTTAAATGGCTTCTTCCGGATTGACCAATTTTACCTATTCGGCACGACATTACACACACACACACACACACACACATATATATATATATCCTTCACAAAACAACAAACAATTATATCTACTATATTTACAGAGGTTACTTACAGAAAGACAATTTGCAAGCAAGAGACACGGTGAGAACCATCTTTGACCAGACTCAGAGGTAACTCTGCGAATGTTGATTCACGAGTGTCTAACGTTGCTTCGCAGTTTTGGCGGGATTCCTCGTGGCTGGCTGGGATGAACCGTGTACTAGCATAACGAGGGAATCCCGCTCATTATATCCTTAGCATCTGGTTCGCTGGTTTGTAGTGCAGCCTATATTGGTGCGTGACACGCCGAGTAAAATGTAATCTTAGCATGCCATAAGAACTGCTGCTTACTGGATGTTATGTGTTTTTTTACGCGATTGTCTGTAAATTCTAGAGAATGCTGTAAGTGAAATTGCCACAATAGCAGTTTCTAAGATACTGAAACTACTCTTATTAGGCACCAACAATCATTCCACTGTTGAAGTCCCTTGGATCACATTTCTTCCCTATTCTCATGTTTGGTCTGAGCAACAACTGATCATCTTGACTATGTCTGCATGCTTTTAGGCAGTGAGGTCCTGCCACGTGATTGGATCATTAGATATTTGGATTAGCGAGCAGGTGTATCTAATAAAGTGGCCAATGAGTGTATATCATTAGATTTCTAGCAGAGCTTCGGTCAGCATTATCAAATGAGAGCTCCCAAAATAAGGGATGCTGTACCAACGATGATCCTCTTTTGTTCTCTATAGGCTGGAATACTGCTTTACACTAACAGCCCCATTCAGGACAGGTGAAACTGCAGATCTAGAGAATGTAAAAAGAACCTTCACTGCACATATTAGTTTAGTCAAGCACCTTAATTACAGGGAACACTTGAAGTCCCTTGACCTGTACTCCCTGGAATGAAGGCAAGGAAGATACATCATAATTTTCACCTGGAGAATCGTATAGGAACTGTTCCAACATCTGTACGCAGAAATAACTCCTTATAAAAAATCAAAGATCAGGCAGAGAGTACACTAAGAGAAAACACATTAAGTGTCCTGGAACAAGAGTGTTCAGCAGCCTCCTGTCATACATAAGGAAAATTATCAATAAACCCCTGGCTGCCTACAAGAGGGAACTGGACAGATACCTAAAGTCAGTGCTCGTTCAGCTGGACTGTACTTCATACCTTGAAATGTGTGAGGACAGAAGTAACACTGGGAGGGATCGTAGAGAACCGAACCGTCCGGGCGTAGACTCCAGTAACAACCTCCAGGTAGACTGTTTAACAGTGATTATGTTACACTATAACCAAGGTTTGTAAATAATCTTAATTTCTCATCGATGCTCACTTGATATGTACGTGGTACTTAGAAAACAGAAGACTAGACATATATTTATGTAGATAAATGGCTCAGAGAACCGACATGTCGATAAATTTGACACATGTGTAACACTTGGGTATCTTTATTGTGGAAACGTTTCGCCACACAGTGGCTTCATCAGTCCAATACAACGAAGAAGAATAGTGAAGATCAGAGAGTAAGGTAATAAGTTCATTAATCTTGACGAGAATATAATCCAATGATTACAGTGACTCAGGGTTGCGGAACTGATTACATTAATCTCTCTCTGATCTTCACTGTTCTTCTTTGTTTAATTTATCAACATATATTTATGCATAAAACAAGAATAAATTACAAAATTGAGACACTGTATGTATGTGCAGTAACTGAGAATCGAAAGTACTATCAGTCACAAAAAATTAAAGCTATCTAATACATGGAATATCCTTGTCAGGATAGCCGAGACATCTCGAACATGTATTGACTGTTCTCTTTCCTGGTGGACACAGGTAGTATTCGCCCTCCTGGTCGCCCTGGCCGCCGCCGCTCCTCGCCCTGATGAGGACGCAGAGACCTTGGTGGATGAGCGCCAGGACAATGGTGACGGCACCTTCAACTACCGATTTGAAACCAGCAATGGACTGAAGGAGGAGCGAGTCGGCACTGTGGGGGCTGAGGGCCAGAGCAACATGCAGGGTTCTTACAGGTAAACATTCCATCACCAAACTGTTTCCATCACATTTATATCTACGTCAGATTAATCACTAATAATTTTATATTATTTTACTTTTTTTTAAAAGATTTTCTGATTATTAGTATATGAGTGGATTGTATATCTTTCAGCTTCACTCTCCCTGACGGCACCGTCGCTGTAATCACTTACGTCGCCGACGAGAACGGCTTCAGACCTGAGTCTCCACTGCTGCCCCAGGATCACCCCCTCCCTGCCCACGCAGTCGCACAGATCGCATTTGCTGAGGAACAGCGCGCTAAGGGTGTCGTGTTCGAGAAATAAGACGGATTTTTACCTATTCTTCGATGAATCTGCTAATAACATGAGCCTTGAAATTTAACTTATCTATCTGGACACAAATTCATCGGTGTCACGTTAATAAATAAATATAATCCTCTTTAAACTGGTCAGATTTTTGTTACCCTCCATTGCAGTTGATTTACAAATAAATTATCATAGATTTATCTGCCGGTGATCAATATATATACTTTTATATATATTTTATATATATACTTATATATATCTATAAACTACACCTTCAGTACATCACACTGCACCTCGCTACACAATACGTAACCTTACACGGCTCGTCACGGCACTATCCAACCCACCTGGCCAAGGTAATGATATCTCCACCTGCTCTCGTGGTCTCGCCTTAATCTGTCCACCAATCCTCAAGTCCGCTATCGTATCTCATGTCGTTTCATTACCAATGAATCTTCCTCCTTCCTCTCACTAAACCTGTCACATTCCATGGTATTTTATAACCAACGGAGCTTCCTCCGGTAAACCACAAGACCGCTAATATATCCTTCAGAAATACATAACCGGTCAAGAATCTCTTGCCTGTGGCTAATCTGAAGGTCGTAGTTGCGGTTTTTGTTTCGTTTTCACTGGGTGGAGGTGAGGGAGACGGCGAAAGAGGAAAGCATGAGAAAGAATATTATAGATGAAGAGTGAGGTGTCTAATGTTTAGTTGACGAAATATTGTGTAGGTGTGTACTAACGGGGAGAGAAAGACGAGAAAAAGAGGAAGAGGCAGATCGAGAATTGAGGCACAAGGACAGGATAAGCCAGAGTGTTTGGGATATGGTGAAGTAACTTGGTCAGTGGGAGGTAGGCAGGAGAAGCTAACATGGAGGAAGCTATAACAGAAATAAATTGTGAAACTCTCGTGACGATGCCATCTGAGGTTCATACATAAACATTGCGGAGAGCTACGACCGGCCCATCATTTACATGTAGCAAACTCTGCCTTAAACAGAAATAATAAATTTTCTGCCTGTTCTCGGTGGCATGTTTACTAATTCAGTCAGAAATACGAGAGAAAATACACTTGGTCTCTGCTGGTCGTGTCTCTGAAGGAAACTTTAATAAATTGTCATTTATTTATACACCAATTATACCTTATGGTCGGGCTATCTTGTTGTTGAGTTAATTTGAATGTATCCATTATTCAAGCTGAACTGCTCATTAGCATGTAGGTTTGAATACCAGCTGAATGATGATGAATTAGGCGCATGTGCAACATCTGGGTATCTTTATTTTGTAGACGTTTCGCCATCCAGTGGCTTTATCAATACAATACAAGGACACAATCTGAAGACTGTAGAATAATATTTAGAAAACAATAGAAGACGAGGTAATCAATCCCTTGACCTAGGAGCAAGTGATGAGCACCGTAATGAACATGATGAGCACCGTGATGAACATGATGAGCACCGTGATGAACATGATGAGCACCGTGATGAACATGATGAGCACCGTGATGAACATGATGAGCACCGTGATGAACATGATGAACACCGTAATGAACATGATGAGTACCGTGATGAATATGATGAGTACCGTGATGAACATGAACACCGTGATGAACATGATGAACACTGTGATGAACATGATGAGTACCGTGATGAACATGATGAACACCGTGATGAACATGACTGAAGCAAGTCAAACATGTATTCTGTTACAGGATCACCAGAACAGCGCAGCTCCATCTACGGATATTTAAAGTTGAAATATAACCTGAGGACTCCTATTATTTGTATTTCTTGATATGAAGCCAAGATTATTGTTATTTTAATCGAAAGTAAGCTCTAAACCCACAAGGGTCATACAGCGTATGAAGCCAAGAATTCTGTTAACTTATTGCGATCACGAAAAGCCAAGACACGTGCTGTCTTGGCTTGAAATTACTGCTGACTAGATCTAAATCTTTTTCTCGTTCAGAGTGATTAAGATCTGAATTATTCAGTTTATAAGTGCTATAGTTATTCTCATTTCTCAGGCTTAGAACTTTACGTTAGTCCTCTAGAATTAATCAATCTGTTTTAAGGTCATCGGCAACTTGCTTATATCGCTATTTATTCCCACATCTGTGTCGTTTATGTGCAACACTGACCCCTGTGGAACACCTATTGTGCCGCATCCCCACTCTGATTTCTCCCCATTTATTTAAATTCTCTGTTGCCTATCTATCAACCACGCCTCTATCTAGAAAAAATCTATTCTGTGTGCCTCTGCTTTTCTCAACAATATACTGCGTGGAACTCTTTCAAAGTCTTTGATATATTCCATATATACATATCATATTCGTAACCATAATCTGCTACTTCAAATACCCTAGTGAAAAAAGTCAACAAATTCGTAAGGCAGGAACATCTCTTTGTAAAACCCGTGCTGAGAGTCACTGATCAATTGATGTCTTTCCAATAGCCTCTGCAATTATCGATCTCATCAATTTACCCACGGCAAGGATTCAACAAGGAGCTGTTCTTGAAACATTCTTTAAAGATTCTGGTCCTTGTTGACATGATAGCATCACGCAGTTGCTGCAGAATTGTCAGTTGCACATTCAGTCTGCAGATCTTCCGATCCACCACATCCCAAAAGTTTGTGCCAAATTCCTACCCTACCCTCTGCATGTAGCAGCAGAAACAGCGATTCTTCAGATCAGGCTACGTTTTTCCAATCCGCTCACCCAAACTGGGCTGTTGCGGATGTGTTTTGTGTTCAGAGATACTTTTCAGTATTCCGCTGTTGTAATGCATGGTTATTAGAGTTGCTGTCACCTTCCTGTCAGCCTCGCCCAGTCTGACCTCTCATTATAAAGGCGTTTTCGCCCTCACAACTGCCATTCACTGGTAATATTTTTTTTTTCACACCATTCTATGTAAGCTCTACAGACTGTTGAGAGTGAAAATCCAAGATCACCAGTTTCTGAGATACGGTTTGAACAACCATACTTTTTGACGATGTCTACATGCTTTTAGTCATTGAGGTACTGCCATATGATTGGCTGATTAAATATTTGCATTAACGAGCAGGTGTATAGATGTACCTAATAAAGTGGCACCTGAGAGTATGTTAGCTAACAATCATGAGTATTGTGCAAATATTAAATGTGGTGTATGAAGTGACAAAAATTACTTTATCACGGAGCCAGACCCCCCAAAAAATGTGGGCGTCTAGCCTGAGCTAGACGATGATTCCCCATACCCCGGGGCACAAGGCTTGTTTTCAAAGTTATGGCATCAAATCCTGCCACATGCAGTGAACAATGAAACATTTGAAATGCTTAAAATTCGCAAACAGGCGAAATTATTTACAAAGATTGTCTCTACGTCCACAGCAGAACTCAACGTAGAGACAATGTAAATAATTTTGTATTTTTGCGAATTAATCATATTATATATATATATATATATATATATATAGGAGACGGCCGGCGTGTTAACATACATATAACATATGTATGTCCCACTTTGTTTTTCTATTTAAAGACCGGAAGGCTACTGTCATTTTTTATGTGCATTAAATAAAGAGGGAACAAAAGACTTGATAGGGAAATTGTGCAGAGAACATAAAGAAAGTTTGCGAGGTGTTCGTTATACAGTTAAAAATAATATGTCCAATAATCAACTCTACTGGAGGTTAACTTAAATTCGAACAATTTGAAGAGGAATTCATTTATTATTATCACATGATACCGATGGATTGTGTCCGTATAGACTAATAAGTTCGAGGTCGATAATTAAGTATATACATGAAAGCCATTAGCAAAATCGTCGAGGAGTAGGTCAAAATCCGTCTTATTTCTCGAACACGACGCCCTTAGCACGCTGCTCCTCAGCGAAGGCGATCTGTGCGACTGCGTGGGCAGGGAGGGGGTGATCCTGGGGCAGCAGTGGAGACTCAGGCCTGAAGCCGTTCTCGTCGGCGACGTAAGTGATTACAGCGACGGTGCCGTCAGGGAGAGTGAAGCTGCATAATAAGAAATCCATGTATGAATTATTTTTTAAATTAAAATTATAGAATATCACTTCTTAAAGTATAGAAAAGAATGTATTAACGTGATAGAAACTTAATGAAGGTTATCTTACCTGTAAGAACCCTGCATGTTGCTCTGGCCCTCAGCCCCCACAGTGCCGACTCGCTCCTCCTTCAGTCCATTGCTGGTTTCAAATCGGTAGTTGAAGGTGCCGTCACCATTGTCCTGGCGTTCGTCCACCAAGGTCTCTGCGTCCTCATCAGGGCGAGGAGCGGCGGCGGCCAGGGCGACCAGGAGGAGGAGCACCACCTGTGTCCACCAAGGAAGAATAGTAAATGCATGCAATAATTTAAGCTATTTTAGACAGCTTTACTATTGTGAGTGTGATGGTTGCATGTCACCATCACAATCGCTCTATGACAATAAGATGAGCAGTAACAGCCAACCATGACTGCATATAATAATGTCCAGAGGAACACACAAGAAAATGCCAGTAGCAGTCTTTAAGTTACAAAGACAGGTATTGATAATTATAATAACAGAAGTTGCGAAAGGTACTGAGAGCTGCAGTGAATAAGTCGAGTTAAAAAAAATGTAACAAAAAGAAAAAAAAGGAGCATTTTTATGTATGAAAAGCCAAGACGTCTACTTAATAAATCTTTGCTAAACAATAGCGTATTTTCAATAACCGTCTCTGCTAAGTAACTATTATTAAGTATGTATATTTGCTTTTGCTGTCGAGAATTATATATAAAACCTAAAGACTAGAGTAAGCCACAGGATATGTGGGGAGCAGCAACTACGTGCAGGAGGTACGGTAATAAACAGTGATGACCCTGCAGAACTCACGAGCTTCATGTTGTTGGTGTGAAGATGAGCAGAGGACTTCTGACGGCTGCTTCTGGCGGGCTCAGGGTATATATACCCTCACTAGTGGTGGGAGGCCGGGCGGGATAGCAGTTCTTTTTTTTTTTACTGTTATTATTAAAATCATTAAGTACACATGTGACCCAGCACTTGAATACTTTCGGTAGGTATTGGAGTTCCTAATATAGGATTGGAGTATTTCCATATACGCGATATGACATACCAGCAGGCCTATAGATTCTAACATATTTTTGTCTTGGATGCGACCCACAACAGTCAACTACAACACAGGCATTTATTTATATCGTTAGGTTGGCAGAAGCGTAACGAAACTTGACCATATGTGTCTTCGTGCCTGGGAATCGATTCTGGGACCTTGTCTTTGTGAGTCGAATGCTTTCACCAATGAGCTGCCCGGTACGCTGCTGGTCGATCTTTTTATGGCTGAGTATAAATCAGCGGGTGTGCAAGTGTAATTGTGAGTGTGGTGAAGGTTAGAATAGAAATGTGTTGAGCCTTGGGTCTGTATGTTTACTGACTGGTGATGACTGTGGTATGTTTACTGAGTGGTGATGACTGTGTGTTATGTTTACTGAAAGGCAATGATTGCGTTACCTGTCTGCTAACTGTTAATGACTGTTTGACTCGTTTAATTAGTTGTGATGACTGTTTGGTGTTTTCTGACTGGTGATGATTACTGTGTTTTACTTACAGGTGATAGCTATGTTGCTTGCAAATATTTGTACTTACATATGTAAGGCTGCAAGCATTGAGTCTCAGTTGATGGCCCTGCCTCTTGCCCAAGAGTAAGACACGTGCAACACATGGGTAGCTTTACTAGCTAATATTGATATCCAAGTGTTGCATATATGTCCTATCAACTTGTTTTTATTATATATCATGTGCCGCTTGCTGGAGTTACTCCTCCTTAACCTTAAAATTATATATGGTACCTGCGTCCCTTGCTACTTCGTCCAGGACATTCCGCTTCCTGATCACCTTGAGACTCAAGAAATACTTCACAGCATCCCTGTGGCTCATCTGTGTCTTTAATTTTCAGTTATGCTTTCGTGTGTCTGATATCCACCTCTCGAATCGTTGTTCATCCTATCATCTCAGCGTTTTGCAATATATATATATATATATTTATATATATTATATATATATATATAATATATATATTATATATATATATATATATATATATATAAATGGTTATAATTATAAACCTTTATTTTTAAAGGGGTGAATTGGCAAGCTAGCGGAACGTCTCGGTTAGTTGACCAAAAGCTCGAGCTTTTGGTCAACTAACTTAATCGAATATTTTGCATGTTGTTAATATGTCCACTCTAGCTCTTCTAACCTATGATAGTGTCAGTTCAGTTTATTTAGCCTCTTTTCATAGCTTATTTTTCTTAAATTTGGGACTAGTTTCGTTGTATACTCCGGCGCTTTCTCCAGTTTCTTAAGATGTGTTATCAGGTGATAACTCGTTGATGGTGCCGCATACTCCAACATGGGACCAGCATGTGTTGTTTACAGCGCCGTGAATGACTTTGGAGATTCCTGAAAGTTAATATAATACTTGCCAAATTATCATTGGCTGCAGAGGTTATTCAGTTGACTCGTGCCTCTAGCGATCTTCTGGACACTGTGCTTAACCCGTGGTCTTCCTTCTTGAGGGACAAATATAACCTCGGTCCGTTGAATAAGTTTTCGTTTTCCTGCCTCTTCTTTAATTATCAAATATTACATTTTCTGGGGTTTAATTCGAGTAGCCACTGGTCTGACCACTTTATATTTTGTCCAGAGTTACTTAGAATTCTTCGTTATCCTTACTAGTTTTTACTCTCCTCATTAGTTTTACATAATTTGCAGACTAAGTCATTTAGATATACCAGAAACAATATCATTCCCAAAACAAATCCTTGCATAACCCCAGTCGTTACACTTTCCCATCTGACTTCTTGTCAGATAATATCTCTTTGTTTTCTTCCCCAAAAGCACTCTTTTAGCCACTGTAGCACATTCCTAGTTATTCCTAGATGCCTGTTAGGTTGTTATCCTAGTCTCATGTGAGATACAACTTCAAATGACTTATTGCAGTTCAAGAATATGCAATTAATCCATCCAGTTCTCCTGTCTCACTTCTGTTACTTTATGATAAAGCTCAGCAAGTTTGTGAGACAAAGTTTACCATCGATGAACTCATGCTGGTTATTGTTCCAGAAAACTCTTCTTTCTAAGTGCTCCACCACTCTTCTTCCTTCTACTTGTGGTGTCCAGTACCTCACATTTTATACATCTCATTATTCATCATGCATGTCAGTGATACTGGTCTGCATTATAATGCTTCCTGTCTGTCTCTTTTTCTAAATACAGGGAGTACTTTCGATGTTTTCAGATCTTTGGTAAATGTCAAGTATTAAATAACTTGCAGATTTTAGCTAGTGGTTCACACAGTTCTTCTGGCCCCTCTCGCAGAGTCCATGGTAGCATTTTATAAGGTTCCACTGCTTACGATGTATCCGGCTCATTCAGATGTGTGTGTGTGTGTGTGTGTGTGTGTGTTTGTGCAATGTTGTGTATTAAGCTGTATTTTAGTATGGGATGTTTTGGTTACTGAAATTCAAACATATCACATTCGTGATGAAATCATCTGTCTCCCTTCACGGTATCTGCCTCCTGATATGTACCTGGCGTTTATTGAGGCTCATTTGAAATCATTTCTTTTTGTAGAGATCCTCTTCCTTAGTGAGATCATCTAAGTGTAATGTGAATATTATTTATGAGAAAAACCATAAAGTTTTGCCTGGAGTTATATTTTTGTCAAACTTCATAAATAAATTGCTAAAAAATATTGCATTATTTTTGTATCTATGGAAGCTTGCTGAACTTCCTCACATAGTGACACTCATGAAATATAAAGATTTTTTCAATTATGATAGAGGAAAACTGATAATGCAAAAAAATATACAAAGGATTTTATTTAACTAGCACGTGATACCGATGGAATACATCTGTATTGATTGAAAAGTTGAAGGTCGAGTCTTTAGTATATACAGGAAGGTCACTAACAGAGTCGTCGAGGAGCAAGTCAAACATCGCCTCATTTCTCGAACACGACACCCTTAGCACGCTGTTCCTCAGCGAAGGCGATCTGTGCGACTGCGTGGGCAGGGAGGGGGTGATCCTGGGGCAGCAGCGGAGACTCAGGCCTGAAGCCGTTCTCGTCGGCGACGTAAGTAATTACAGCGACAGTGCCGTCAGGGAGAGTGAAGCTGAAAGATATACAATCCATTCATATACTAATTATCAGATAATATTTTTTTTAAAGCAAAATAACATAAAATTATTAGTAATCTGATATAGATATAAATGTGATGAAGACAGTTTGGTGATGGAATGTTTACCTGTAAGAACCCTGCATGTTGCTCTGGCCTTCAGCCCCCACAGTACCGACTCGCTCCTCCTTCAGTCCATTGCTGGTTTCAAATCGGTAGTTGAAGGTGCCGTCACCATTGTCTTGGCGCTCGTCCACCAAGGTCTCTGCGTCCTCATCAGGGCGAGGAGCGGCGGCGGCCAGGGCGACCAGGAGGGCGAACACTACCTGCGTCCACCAGACAAGAGAGCAGTAAATACACTCGGAAGATTTCTTGGGTATTCTTACTACTCTGAGGCCTCGTATTTTAGAAAGAGTTCGATATTATGTGAAATGCCGGAGAACCTTTAATTCTATATTATTGTTTGCATTTTTTAAATTGTGTTAGTATATCCTTCTTTCCTCGCGAGGAAGTAATTTTATATTTCTGTCGTTCGCCAAATCAATTATATTTGAACGAGGTTAGCAGCAGCAGCAGCAGCAGCAGCCAGCAGAAGGCAATGAAGACTTGAAATGTCTGCTGTGTCCATAAGAGGAGGCAAGTATTTAAGAGGAATTATCCTCTTAATCATCTGGAAGTTAAAGAGTCACCTGTAACGATGCAATATATAGAATAATAATACGTAATGTTTGCAGTGACAAAAGTACAGAGATTTAAAGTGACAGACTGTAAAAGTTATAATGGCAGGTTATGAGAGTCATAATAGCAGGTAATGGGAGTTACAGTGAGATGGTCTGAGAGTTACAGTAACAGGGTACTGAAAGTTAAAACAGCAGGGGTATAAAGAGCTACGATGACATATACTGAGAGTTACAGTGACAGGGGTGCTAACAGATACAGTGACAGGGTTACTGAGAAATACAATAGCAGAGGCACTAAGAGTAACGATGAGACATATGCACTGACAGATGCCATAACAGAGATGCTGGCAGAGTTACATTAGTAACACTGACATCAAAACAAATATTATTCTAAACAACAGTTTATTCAACCCATTTTGTATATGTATTAAGCCATTTCATATTAATCCAAATGTCTAAAGGCAGTATATGTGGACAGCAACGTCATCCAGGAGGCAGAGCAATAAACAACAATGACCCGGCAGTACTCACGAGCTTCATGTTGGTGTGGAAATGAGCAGAGAATGTCTGACAGTTGCTGGTGACTACGGGTATATATACCCAAAGTAGCGGTGGGAGGGAGGGCGGGATGGCAGGAGAGTGGGTACGCTCGATGGTGGGCCCTTGGTTAATGTAAGTCGTTAGGTGGGTCAAGTGGCAGGCTATGAAGCAAAGGTGGTAGAGTTTAATATGGAAATGCACTGGGCTTTGAGTTAGTACGTTCTCTGACTGGAATAACAGACTGGCGTATGCGTATTGACAACGAAGTCAATCGTGACTGAACGTATGTTATACACTGGATGAATATTGATGTTAAACATGTATATGTATACCAAGCGATGGTAAACACACACACAGGAGCTATGAATCGACTCCTGCAACCACAACTAGGTAAGTACACACACACACACACACACACACACACACACACACACACACACACACACACACACACACACACACACACACACACACACACACACACACACACACACACAAGATAGTACACGGCTAAGACTATCCATAGGGGATATTAAGAAACCACAACAACGACCTGAATACAGGAGGAATAGTGCAAACACTGATAACGACGTATAAAATATTGAGAGGAATTGAAATGGTGGACAGGGTATTAAGGAGTATCGGAGACGGACACTGGAACAGGGGAACACGTGGAAAATTCAAAACGTCAATAATCATTGGAGAATTAGGGACAGTAATTTTTCAACACTTAGAGTGTCAGGAACAGTGGAAACAAAGTGAAGACATAAAGTGGTGGAGATCACCTAGATTTCATGACATAGCTGTTAAGAAAAGTAGAGAGTACAATAAAGCTCTTGGAGCAGGGAAAGGGTGGAACTACTAGCGACCAACGAAGAGGCGGGGCCAGAAGCTATGAATCGACCCCTGCAACCACATATAGGCGAGTGCATATTAGGGAGTGCTCACACAGCGTGGTTACCCTTATCTCCAAGCTCGTTGAGGCAGCATCATCAGATAGGACAGGAATCCCAACCATCCCGCTGCAAGAATATTGAAACAAACAATGTAAGTATCTTGGCCATGGTATGCACTGTTACTTGAGCAAGAAAATTCGTAGAAGGAACAGAGGAAGAAGAGAAGTTGTGGAAGTGAAAGTCAATATGTATGGGTAAAAAAGGGAAGAGGAAGAAGATTGAAACGAATAAAAGGAAGCAAGAGGAAATGACAATATTAGTATTAGTGCTACTAGTAGTAGAAGTAGTAGTAGTAGTAGTAGTAGTAGTAGTAGTAGTAGTAGTAGTAGTAGTAGTAGTAGTAGTAGTAGTAGTAGTAGTAGTAGTAGTAGTAGTAGTAGTAGTAGTAGAGGTAATTGTAGTTGTTGCTGTTTTTTTTGTTGATGTTGTGATTATAAAAAATATAATGCATTATATAACAATAATACTTTTTTAACACTCGGCCGTCTCCCACCGAGGTAGGACCCAGCAAAAAAAAAAAAGAAAAAAAAAACACTTTCACTGTTACTCATTCAGTCGCTGTCTTGCCAGAAGAGGACCTACGTCACAGTTTAGATGACTCTGCAAACCGCAACACATCCACCGACTGCAGGCACTGTACTTCCCCCCACCTTCATGTTTACTTGCTCAAACTCCAACAGCACGTCAAATCATAAAAAAAGCCACTTGCTTCTATGCATCTCTAACAAGCCTGTTGAATATCCAAGCCCCTTGCATACAAAATCTCCTTTACCCGCTCCCTCCAACCTTACCTAGGACGACCAACAATGCCTTCCATACCGATTTATACTCCCTCCAAGTCATCATGTTTTACTCTATCAATTTTAAATGTCCAAGACACATCAATAGCCCATACTCAGCCCTCTGAATAATACGTTTAGTAACTCCACGTCTCCTAATGTTCAAACTCCGAATTATATGCTTAATATTCATAACACACCTTGTCCATATTTCTACTGTCTACATCCTTTTCCTCGCAGCAACATTCATAACCAATGATTCACACCACAAACAGTGTTGGTACCACTATACTCTGGTACATTCCTCTCTTTGCCTTCATGGATAAAGTTCTTTGTCTCCATCAGATGCCTTAGTAACACCAACCACTTTTTTTTACCCTTCGTCAATTGTATAATTTGTCTTCATTAACAAAAGAGATCAGCTCCAGTTACCTGACTTCCCATGAATACAGGGTTGTAGTCTATATGTAGTGTAAACACAGTGAATAGTAATTAAATCTTAAGCACTTTCTTGGTCTCAGTTAAATTCTCATGGAGTACTAAATGCAGTATATTAAAGTGAATCTTACGTACAGAGTCTTGATTGATCTAAATCATCTAGAAGAGACTCAGCTGCACCTTGCATGGGGGAACCTGACTTTACAGAGTAAGATTGGTAGTACTTCACTCTGGTACCTTAATTTCATGGTAACTCAAAAGTAAACCACTTAAAGAGTGACATGTCTAGTAGTGATCTAGCTTGCCAACATAGGCTAAAATTAACATTCAACTCCTGACAATTGTAAAGTGACAGGCTTCCAGGCTTTTTCCACTCTGCACTACATAAAATACGTGGCATTTTGATTGTACAAGGCCTCATATAAACACAGCCATCAACATTTTCGGGGAAATTCTTTTTCAAATGGTTTTTACGATATCAACATGAGGTTAAAAACTCTTAATAGGAATTACAAGTTATCATATTTGTGGTTGAACATTAGTCGTACAGTCTGTATGTCGAATTCCGCTCCGCAGTCCTGAGGGTTTGTTTCCCGAAGCTGCGCTGAGTTTCTCCGCCACGGATGATGGGAAAATTCTCTTCTCCGATTTGTTAAAAAAAATTTCTTCAAATATTGCTTAATGCTGATTCAAATGAGAGAATGATTCATATACTGAAACAAATTCTGTAGCTGGTTTTCAATTTTGGTGTCACATACACAACACAAAGCCAATGGGCACCAGAAGTAAAGTGAATGAAGGTATCCAGGAAATGTTGCAGAATGGATTTACGTGAATGCTGGGGTTCGAGTATAATTATATACATATACATGTGTGTGTGTATCTCGTCACTACGACACTGGTCATCATTTTCAGCAGTATGCACCTTGGCTCACTCAGGGTCTCCAGGCAGCCCGCCGCTGCAAGGCCACATTAGGTACCGATGTAGTCCCGTTGCTGACACAGCCATATCAATTTATTTACTAAACAATTATTTTGTAATAACTGGTAATTACGGGTGACACATGTGCAACACATGGGAATCTTTAATGCCGAAACCTTTCGCCTGCGCAGCAGGATTTTTCATATGAATACAAAGGCGACATTCTACTTTAGACATTGGAAGAAGCTGCCTCTGTATTTGTTTCAAATGTGCTTGCTGCGCAGTCAAAATATTTTGACATTAAAGACACTCACATGTTGCTCTTGTCTCTTATTCTTGAAATTTTTGGTATTGAATATTATTAATATATGGCGGTAGTGGAAGTGTCAGCAGCAGACGTCGTAGAGACAGAAGTAGGCATAGTGGTAGAGGTAATAGTAATAGTAGTAGTAATGGTAGTAGTGTTAGTAGTAGTAGTAGTAGCAGTAGTAGCATTAGTAGTAGTAGTAGTGGTAGTAGTATTAGTATTAGTAGTAGTAGTGATAGTAGTGTGAGTAGTAGTAGTAACAGTAGTAGTAGTAGTAGTAGTAGTAGTAGTAGTAGTAGTAGTAGTAGTAGTAGTAGTAGTGGTAGTAGTATTAGTATTAGTAGTAGTAGTAGTAGTAGTATAGTATAGTGTAGTATGCAGTAGTAGTAGAGTAGTAGTAGTATATAGTAGTGTAGTAGCAGTATGTAGTAGTATTAGTAGTAGTATAGTAGTGATAGTAGTGTTAGTATTAGTAGTAGTAGTAGTAGTAGTATTAGTAGTAGTAGTGGGTAGTAGTATTGGGGTATTAGTTAGTAGTAGTAGTAGTAGTAGTAGTAGTGATAGTAGTGTTAGTTATTAGTTAGTAGTATAGTAGTAGTATTAGTAGTAGTAGTAGTAGTGGTAGTAGTATTAGTATTAGTAGTAGTAGTAGTGATAGTAATGTTAGTAGTAGTAGTAGTAGTAGTAGTAGTAGTAGCAGTAGTAGTAGTAGTAGTAGTAGTAGTGGCAGTAGTATTAGTATTAGTAGTAGTAGTAGTGATAGTAGTGTTAGTAGTAGTAGTAGTGGTAGTAGTAGTAGTAGTAGTAGTAGTAGTAGTAGTAGTAGTAGTAGTAGTAGTAGTAGTAGTAGTAGTAGTAGTAGTGGTAGTAGCATTAGTATTAGTAGTAGTAGTAGTAGTAGTAGTATTTATAATAGAAGTAGTAGTAGAATTAGTAGTAATTTAATAACAGAAGCGTCTTTAAACTACAAGAAAAATAGTGGAAAATATCTTCTACTGTTTTACATACCAAAATTCTAATATCAAAAATTAAAGAGCTAAAGAATAACTTTTCCCTACACTGGTGAAAGCGCAATAACACGAGGGCAAGCAAATCACAGAACGGGCGAGGGATCGAAACCATGGCAGGCAAGTCCACACAGGCCAGTGTGTTAAGCAATAGACCAACTGGCTTTAATAGGAGTCTTCCAACTGGATATATATCTATACACCATAGGAAGGTTAGTATGGCCCCGAACTTTAGCCACACCAGCATGGCTGTTAACGCACTGGCCTGGGTGTTTTAGCACTATCCTGCCATGGGTTTGAGGCCCAGCCTTTCTGTGATTTGATTTTCCTTAACCTGTAAATGTTATCTAAAAATACAATTTCTTCCAGTTATATGATACTATATTGCAGTTATATGATACTATATTGCTAGGTCAGTGACCATGTATGTATTTAGATTTAGAAATATTAAGATTTAGATGCAGTGATTTAATTTTAGATCAGGGTGCAGAACGTCCAAGACTTGTAATACAAGGCACAGACGCATGATTTGAAAAAGCAAGTATAACTGTGGAAATATAAAACAATCAAGTACAATTTATGGCAACCAACACCAGCTAATGGCAACCAACGTAAACCAA